ATTCAAATTTAAAATTTTTTATTTTTTTTAAAAATAACTATTAAATTATTTAAATAATTAAAATTTTTACATTACTTTTTAATTTAACAATCAGAATTCATGAAACCATCCGACGGGTGGAACATTGGCCACGTTGTCAACTGTGAACTGTCATTTGACGGGCACATACACGTGTTCGGTTGTCACCGTGTCCGGTTGTCACCGTGTCCAAACCGGATGACAACTCAGAATTGGTCTGAGCTGGGCTGTAGGCCTGTTGTCGGCAAAGAGAAAACAGTCATTTCGGGATATTCAGCAGATTGTTTAGAAATTTTCTTTTACTTTTTCTCTTTTTTAAAAAAAAAAATTTCTTCTTGGACTGAAGAAGAGATTGTCACGATTGGGCAAAATACACCGTTTTACATGTTTCTGAGTAAAACTTTTGAATGGTCGAAAGTCCAATGAAATAAAATCAACATAAATTTGATTGCAATAATAAAAATTAAAAAGGATGAAGAATATGTACAAGGTTAAATGTCATTTTTTATCAAAAAAAAAAAAGCATTAATTTGCATTGTAAAAAGTAAATAAAAAATATTTTAAAATCACATTAATTTAATAAAATTTTATTAAAAAGATTAAAATATCTTAATTTTTAAAACAAAAATAAAGTTTTTTAAAAATTATTTTTGTTGTAATACTTTATTTAAATAACATAATTTTAAGTTAGTTTTTCGTTTAATTTTTTTACAATATATGCTGACATCCATTAATTTCTTTAAATATTTAGTCTCTAAACTATTTTTGCACCTTTTTCACTCTTAAACTATAAAAAATGTACTTTTTTCATTCCTTTGTCAATTAGTAATTCATTAAGTGTGTGTATATATATATGCACATTTTTAGCTTATAAATTTAGAGATTAAAAATGTAGATATATTATTGTAATCCCAGTTAGCTACCCCTCAATTCCTAAGATATAAAACTCATTTCATTTCCTTTATAAAAACGTGAATGAAGTTCTCAATATATATAAGCTGTTATGCAGAACAAACAAGAGTAATATAGTGCAGAAAAATAAAAGAGAGGGAAGAGAATATCAAGTTGTGATTTATAGTGGTTCCTCCAACCTGGAGTATATTCACTCCCCAAGCCTTCTTGCTCGAAAGTTCAATCCATTAGAAATCTCTTGCTTACGGATGCAAGATTAAACCGGAACAAACTTTTGCTTGCGGGTGTAAGATTAAACCCTTAAAAGTGAATCTCAACTCACTCAACCCCTTCAAGAATTATCCCAATCCAAGAAGAATACAAAACCCTTGTAAGACAATTAACCCAAAAGCTCACAAGAAGAGAAGAAGAAGGAGATCTAGAACACTTTCAAAAACAAACTCTGTTTTTCTATATTGCTGGAGCAGTTCGTCCTTCTTCATTCATGTAGATCTTATTTTTGATGTCCTTTTAATAGTTGGTTAGGAGCCTTGCAATTAAAACCCATTTAGCCTTTCAAAGCCACCTCACAATTGCTCCAATTAGATTCCACCTTATTCTATTAATTTTAACTTGACTTTGGAAAGTGCTCAGACAATTGGTTCCTCCAAGACCCATTAAGGATAAGAATAAACGGATAGTTGAGTTGTCAAAATTTAACTTTTCAAAATTTTTGCTTCGAAACCAGAAATAATGATTCGAATCATTTTTGGAAAAAAGAAGTTTAGGATTGATTCAAATCAAATATAATTGATTTGAACCTTAGAACTCTGAACAAGGATGATATGATTCAATTCTAATCATGGGGAAAGATTAGAATCCTTGAATTAACTTTCCTACACACTTAACACAAAAATAGATTAAATTCTTTTGAATCATGGTTTTAAACCATCATCAAAATACAAAAAAAAAAACCTAACAATTATAAGTTTTGAAACTAAAAATGTATATATAT